CTTCTTTGGAGATTTCTTGGAAATTAGATCTGCTAGCAATAAATTTTCTTCAAGTCTCCAGGCTTTGAACTCCTCCTCATGCCATTTCAAATAAGTTCAGCTCTCTTGAGGCATGTACCAGAGTTCTCTGCCTTTATGGACTGTATCCCTGGGCCAAATATTTGAGCTGCTCCTCCTTCTCCTGAGCAAATTTGGAAGTCAGTGGTCTTCTCCACTTGCTTCTGCCAGCATGAAAACTCCACCTGAGGATTAGGAGCGATGGAGCTGGAACTGATCTGAAAGCAACCTCCCCTGAAGACTAGCTCTATAGCTTTGGAGGGCACTATGAAAGCTGGTAAGGGAGAACATCAATCAATGGTCCAATCCCAGTGTCAAGGCCTAATAACCACATTAATGACTGGCACAGCAAACAACATTGGTGCAGTAGTGGTACTTTTATCTTGGGATTAATCAAGAGCTAGCTAATTGTACTTAAGGCCCACTCAATGGGAGGAAACTCATGAGTGGTACTATAAACAGCCAAATACACATAGCTGGAGAGGTCATAAATCTTAGAGAAAACCCCAAGGCTGTCACATCCCTAGACAAATGTAATTTCTTACTATGTACAAAATATGGATCCTTAAGTTTACAGACAAATATGCCAGTCACCACTCATCAAAGAAGCTTTTTTTCAACAGTACGAGATTATTACAGAGTCCCACAACTTGTTATACAAGTGGGTATATTAAAATTTACCCACCCAGGGATCAGGGACCATTGTGGAAGAGGGGGCAGAAAGATTGTGAGAGACAGGGAGGAGGTGCATGACCTACAGACTCCTAAGACCCTTCTTATATGAACCGACAGCAATGCACAGGACCCATGCAAACTCAAGCAGACAAAAACCCAGAATAATTGGCAGCTGATTATTTCTGAGAAAGAACTGATCTTCTTAAAGGACCCCTCTAGATAGGCTGACTAGACCTCAATGGATGAATTTGCACTAAGTTGACATGATAAGGCCTTAACACAAATGACAGAATGTATGAATTCCAGTGGGGTAGGAGCTATTGATGGGTGCCAGTGGGGAAGGGGGTATAAAGGTGATTAAAATGTTCTGTATGAAATACACAAAAATTCAATAAAAAAATTAAAAAACAAAGGGCGTGGTGGTACACGCCTTTAATCCCTGCACTCAGGAGGCAGAGACAGGCGGATCTCTGTGAGTTCAAGGCCAGCCTGGTCTACTAGTGAGTTCCAGGACAGCTGGGGCTACAGGGAGACCCTGTCTCAAAAGCACCAAAAATAAAAACAAAAAAAAAAAACAAAAAGTGAAAATAAAAATCCAGAAAAAGCAATTCTCTTATCAACATAAATAAACCTGAATTCTGTTAAGTAGACCCTTATTTCAATCTATTCAAGTTTCAAAATATGCATCTTGAATTTAGAATCTATAGTGTTTAAATTATTTCAGTACATAATCATCACTTGATTTTAATTATAATTGAAAAAGTAATTCAGTCTGAGTACTGGGTACCATATTTATAGCAGTCGTATGTTATGTGTCCTACAATGGCCATTAAGGACTGAGTCAGGCTTCTGATTAGCACTACTGGGAGCAGAGATGGGTCCTCCGGGAGGTCTTTCAGTTATTTACTACATAGCTTCAAAGGAGATTCAGAGATGCAGACCTTCTTGTTTTCCTTTGCATCTTGGACAAATGGTGGTTGGTTGGCTCTGTCATAAGTGCCCTGTACATATGTTGAGTCTCCATAGACCTCAGGGCAATGTGGCCACAGTCAAACTGCAAGCAAAAACCTCACCTTTAGTCACCCTCTCCCTCTTGCACATATTCTCTCTTTCCTTATGATTTTCTGAGGTACATTCTTAATATGTATCCCAGGATGGCCTGGAAATCGTGATCCTTCTGTCTCCATTTTACCCACAGCTGGGATTACAGGCACCACACCCAACACATTTTCTCTTCATAACCTGATTATCTCAAGTATTTGTTTTGGTGACAGATCACTAACATAGCCTGTATCATGAATAATTATAGTGTTGAAGGGCTTTATGTTTATTATTATTATTATTATTTGATGTTTTTGAGACAGGGTTTCCCTGTAGTGGGGGCTGGCCTGGAACTCATTATGTAGACCAGGCTGGCCTTGAACTAACAGAGCTCCGCCTTCCTCTGCTGGGATTAAAGGCGTGTGCCACAACGCCCGGCATAGTATTGAAGTTTTAAAAGCATTTTAACACAGAATGGTTTTCTCTACACCTGATTCTTTTACTGTTATTCTTCGGTTGATCCATGGGGATTTGTAAACATTTCTATTAGCTAAGAATATATTTCTATGTTGTATATATACAAAAAGTGTGTGGGTAGTCATTGTGTTTTGGGTCTCATATTATCACTGTTCTGGTACTTTGTATAGTTCTTACATATAAGTTTTTTAAAGTTTTCTGAATTAGTAGTTTGATTGCTTTGCTTATAGCATATTGTACTGAAATGTGTTTTTGTTATCACAAAGATAGTGATATCCAGGAAGAAATAGATGTTGTTAAAGATCTAAAAAATAATAATAATAATAATAATATCCTGCCTCCTCATCAAAGCTGCTCCAACCGGCCCAAATCTGAAAATCATTTCATATGTTCTATAGCCCATGGAAATGATTTTTAAACATCAAATGGTTTCAAGATCTCTTTGAATCAAATATTTGAAGGTTCTGGTTAGGACATCCTGACCAGCCCTCCCACTAGCACAATTCACTGTAAACCCTTTGAATAGTTGTTGATTATTCATTTCCCTGAACAGAGCAGTTTCAGTTTCACATTACTCTCACCCATTGTAAAAGTTACAGTGCTTTTCCGTATTTAATTACTTGGGGGAACTCCAGAAAGCCTCCCAGCATCAGAGGAGGAAATAAAAGGCAAGGAAAAGAGCCAGTCCACCCACACTGAGCAGCAAGAGCAGGTAAGAAGGGTCTCTTCTCTTTCCAACGCCCCTTCTGTCTCTGGGGAATTCTGCTGTGGAGACATGGGGACAGAAGGCTTGACCAGGATTATAAAGCAGTTATGAGAGTTAATTCATTTTCTTAAAGATTGCTGGGGAAGGGCAGTATTGGAGTTGTTTCTGACTGAGTTCTTGATTTTGAATTGCTTAAAATTTTATATAAAGCATTCAGTGAGAGAAAGGATTTTAAAAATTACTTGGAAGAGGAAAGGCTGCACCTGAGCAATGAATGGGGTGAGATAGAATCAGATGAAATCCTGGGTGGTTTTATCAGGATAGTAGGTTTCTAAGTGCCAGTACTGGGCTTACTTTGAGTTAGAGACCAGCAGACATGTGACTGAACCAAGGGTGGGAAACATTAGGATTGTCTTTCTCTGTGTTCACAGTGTCTCTGATGATGAGGGACACTCTCAGTAATAGAGCTTACTCAGTACTGCTCCTATTGAAGGGCTGCCTGTGGGTTATTTTCATGAGGAAAGACAGAGTGAGATGTATGGTAAAGAGTCAGCCAGGCTGTAAAGGACAAAGAGAGAGACTAGAAGGTTGATGCAAAAATATAACTATGCCTTTAATCCCAGCACTTGGGAGGCAGAGGTAGGTGGATTTCTGTGAGTTCGAGGCCAGCCTGGTCTACATAGTGAGTTCCAGGACAGCTGGGGCTACAGGGAGACCCTGTCTCAAAAAGGCCAAAAAGAAAACATATAGATATATAGATATAAAATCTCAAAAGGAATAAGAAAAGGTTTACTCTGGAGTCAAATGTGAGTGACCTCGGTCCTGGAACACAGATTCAGGGTAACCCAAACACCAAGCAACTTGGCAAGTTTCATGAAGTTTTTATAGTAACACAACAAAGAAAGTCATAAATCAATGTACTTTTAAAGTATGTTGGTGGGAGGAGGTTACAGAAGAGTGAGGTAGTCTGCTACAGACTTAGATGTTAACTAATAATGTTCTTAGCCTTTGGGTTGGTGAAAGCCAGGGTCTGTTTGTACATTCCAAAAAGATTTTACCCGACCACAGCAAGGTTGAGTCAAACACAGAGGTGGGCGATGAGTGACTGTGAAAGGACTAAAGACAGCCCAAGACGATTTCGCTCCAGGCTTGGGATATTCCAGCTCTCCACAATAACAATTCTAATCAGTCGGTCAGTCTTGTAGATTCATTAACACAGCTATGGCTTCTTCCCGGAACTTCAGCTCAGAACTGAAACCGAGAGTCAAAGAAGATCAGGAAAGCAACATGCTGAACTTGGCTTCCAAGGCAATTTCCCCTTCAGTAAGGCAGCCTCGCTCATTTCTAGTGCCTGCTCCCTCCTTACCCCTAGCCTGCTCCTGCAGGGGTCAGACCCAGGACTAAAGGCAGGTCTCTGTCTACTCTGACTCCTCCCTACCAGTCCCTCAGACTTTGCTTTCTGGAAAACAGCCCCCACCTCCCCTGAACTCCTGGCCAGATGCCAGCCTCACCCCTCCCTTCTCTTCTGGTAACTGCTCTCCATTATCAGCTCCTGTCCCCTGCCTCCCTCAATCTTTCTCTCCTCCCATTTCCCCTTTTTCATCTCTACCAAATGGAAAAACAAAACAGAAAAATCCCAGGAAATATAGGTTTTTCTTTGGACGACTTCCTGCCTAGCTCTCTTGTCTGCTCCCCAATTTTTTACTCTTGATGTCATGGTTGTGTTTGTTTTTAACTACATCCCGTATTTGCAATGATGTGCTCAGATCCTGTTGTGTTTATATCCATTGACTGTGTAGCTAATGAAGTTTAAGTTTCAGAGTGCTGATCTTTCACACACACCCTCCATGTCCTTAGAAAGTATCTCAATGTCACTTATTGTCATAAATTTTGAAAAACAAAAAATATTACACTGATTCTTTAATGGCAATGTAAGTAGTTCTGTGAATGGAGGCTCATGCCAGTAAAATTAATACAGTTACTTGGGTGGGAGAAAGGAACACAATGAAAAATCCCTAGAAATTATCCTAAGAATACACATCAAACAATGAAGCTTTTATTCAAAGGGATCTTTATTATAAGAATGAATGAATGAATAAATCAATACTTAATGGATTACATAGAGCTGGAATAGAAAATAAATTCCACAAATATGATTCTGTTTCCCACTTGTTGTCTAGTATAAAATTTTCAATAAGGAAACATTTCAGTGCTAAACTGAATGGGATGTTGGGTTGTGAGCAGTGGGCTATGAAGCTGCTGCCACAACATTTTAAATGAAATTCTTTAGTGGTGATATTTTTATAACTTTCTAAAATTCTACAGGCTTTCCATTATCTACCTCACTGATACACACAACGCTGTCATGCATTTGGGAGAATTTTATGACTCCACCTCCTAAGTACAATGACTGAGATTCTAATCCATCTCATTTCTTCCTTTGTAAATAGGAGACAAGCCTGGACAATGGCCTCAGAGATCCACATGCCAGAACCCATGTGCCTCATAGGGAATGTGAACGGCCAGCTGATAGCCAACCAGGAGGCCCTGGGGATCCTGTCTGCCATCAAGCAGCCTGTGGTGGTGGTGGCCATCGTGGGCCTCTACCGCACGGGCAAATCCTACCTGATGAACAAGCTGGCTGGGAAGAAAACAGGTGAGTGCCACCAGCAGAGCCCTGTCCAGTCCCCTCTGTCTGCCCACGCTGTGAGCATTCAGCATAGACGTGTGCAGAATGTAATATTCCACTCACAGTTGGACTCATTTTTGTAGTTATTGTTGTTTTGCTTGTTTGCTTTTGAGACATGGTCTTGTTATGTACCACATTTTCCCTGAACTGAGTGTGTAGTCGAGGCCGGTCCTGAACTTACGATTCTCTACCTCAGCCTCCAGAGTGCTGGAATTGCAAGGTTATACAACTATATTTCGCTTTTAATTTCCCTTGTGAAGCCCCAGATGAGAGTTCCCTGAGCTCTGAGCCAAAATAAACTCTTTCTTTCTTAACTTGCTTCTTGATCACATCAATGCAAAAAGTAACATAGCCTGGAATAACGGAACGCATGGACCCAAACAGATATTTTTATACTCAGATTTAAATGAGCATTATTCATAGAGCCCAAAGTGTCTCCTTACAGATGAGATGAGTGAAGAAGCAAATTGTTACACACGTCTAATTACTGAACTTTAAAAAGGTGGGTGTGAGGGGTGTGAATATGGGTGTGTGTGTGTCTAACAAAGACAAATCTTAAAGGTATCATGCTAGATGAAGGAAGCCAGTCTCACACACACACACACATACACACGCACGCACACACACACACACACACACACACACACACAAATCTTGTACAAGTACGCCTATATGACAGTCCTAGAACAGTCAATTTGAAAGCTCGGGATGTAGAATAATGGAATAGGAATGGGCAACAGATGGATGCAGAGGATTTATTTCTCTGGGGGAAAATGTGATAATTTTACAGGTATATGTAAATTTACTTAATTCCACAGAACTTTACACTCAGAAATAAATCTAAAGGTAAATTTTGTGTTACATGATTAACAGTAAAAAAAAAAATCCAGTACATATAATACAGATTGAAAATTCTTTTACATTAAAGACTAGTAGAAACATGACATTATTTTTCTCATCAATGTGATCAAGTATCTGGCAGAATCAAATTAAAGAATGAAGAATTTACTTTGATTCATGGTTCAGAGGATATCAGTCCATCATGGAAGGGAAGACATGACTTTGTGGCTCCATCCATGGTGGTGGAAGTAGGATTGTCCATAGCACAGCTGACCAGGAAGCAGCAAGCACAGGGCCACAGCAAGGCCAGCATTACTCTTCAAAGGTCCACCCCTCTGCCAACTAGGTCCTGCCTCCCAAAGGTTGCACATCCTCAGAACAGCACCCCCAACTGGGGACCAAGTGCTCAAATACATGAGAGTTTGGTGGACAGTTCACATTCAAACCGAAACATCCCGCTCCTGTCCCCCCATGGGCTCATGACCATCTCACAATGCAAAATGCATTGGGTCCAACTTCAAAAGTCTACACAATCTTACAGTTTTAGCACTATTTAAAGTACAAATTCTCCCCCGAGACTGAAGGCAAATTTTTGCAAAATCAAAATGTAAGTCACATACTTCCAATATACAATAGCACAGAATAAACATTCCCATTCCAAAAGGGATGGACAGGAATGTAAGAACATGCTAAAACAAGACCAAAACCCCACAGAGCCAACACCAAACCCCAGAGTTCTTTGCCCTGCATACAGGTGACATCATCTCTAGGCTCCATCAGCTTGTCCTGCTGGACACAGCACACCTGGGCTCTCTCTAGGGTCAGGTCCACTCACTGACTCCAGCTTTCCTCAGTGGACATCCCACAGCCCTGGCATCTCCCACATCCTTAGATCTCCATTGCAACTTAGGCTTTACCTCCATAGCTTCACACACAGCATGCTTACAGTTCCATACAGAGAAACTGAGCCTGCTATACTTATTTTTTCCTGGAACGTTGGTCTAAGTCTTGATTAGCCTTGTGACTCTTGTATTCTGCATACCTGAAAAATTAATTTCTGTTATGTTTCTTACCAAGTACTAGCTTGGTCTCAGTAAGCTCTCCTGATCTTGAGTATGTTAATATTTAATCTCACTGTCTTGAAGCCCCTTGCTACTAAATATCTGCTTTCTCTTCTCTCCTGTTTTACAGGCTTCTCTCTGGGCTCCACTGTGCAGTCTCACACCAAAGGAATCTGGATGTGGTGTGTGCCCCATCCCCAGAGGTCAGACCGCACTCTAGTTCTGCTTGACACGGAGGGCCTGGGAGACGTCGAGAAAGTAAGAATTGGGAACTCATTTGAAATCCACTCATCTCTAAATATTCTCTCCACTGTGTTCTAAACACTGTGTAGTTTAAATTTTTTTGCATTTATTTGTGTGTTTGTGTGTGTGAATGCAAGCATATGCCATGATGTGTGTGCTGAAACACACGTGAAATGTTTAGAGGACAACTTGGGAAAGTCAGTTCTCTTTCCCACCATGTGGGTTCTGGAGACTGAACTCATACCATTAGGCTTGGCAGCAAGCACCTTTACCCACTGATCCATCTCGCCAGCCCAGTAGGTTTGTCTAGATTTGGTTCAAGACAGAGTCTCCCTATAGCACCTGCTGGCCTGGAGCTCACTATGTAGACTAGTCTGGCCTTAATCTTACAAAGATCCACCTGCCTCTGCCTCCTAAATGCTGGGATTAAAGGCATGTGACACCATGCTGGGACCCATAAGGAATTTCCCAAGTATAAGGAGGAGCATGCTATTAAGGAGGCTGTACCGAGAGTGGGGCTTGAACCCACACAGACTCTGTCTATTGGATCTTAAGTCCAACACCTTAACCACTCAGCCATCCCAGTGACATAAAGATTATTTTTATTTTATGTGTATGAGTGCTTTGCCTGCATGTACGTATGTATACCACATAACTGGAGTTACAGATGGTTGTGAGCCACCATGTGGATGCTGGGAACTGAATCTGGGTTCTCTGCAAGAGCAGCCAGGGCTCTTAACCACTGAGCCACCTCTCTAGTCCCTTTAGTAGTTTTTAAATAAGAGCTTGAACTTCATCATAATATAGTTTTTCATTCTTATCTACATTACATGTGACTAAGTTTTACCACCAGAGATGAGGAAAATAGCCAGAAGACAGGATCATTGAACAACAGGATGGTTAGTCTACAGGATTTCAACTTCTACCAGGCTAAGCAGCACTAGTAAGAATCAGTGCCAACCAAAAATACAAATCAAAAAAGCATTCAACTTCAAGTCCTATAGGCAATCACTTGTGGGGTTTTGTTGTTGTTTAGTACCTTGCATAGGTTGCAAAGGTTTTTCTCTAATAATTTCAAAAAAAAAAAAACCCTCTAATTAAATGAGTATATTTTACACCTGCTGATCTGAAAATTTACATAGGAACAAAACGTACCCCTGACACACGTGTTCTGATTTCCAGGGTGACAACCAGAATGACTGCTGGATCTTTGCCCTGGCAATACTTCTGAGCAGTACCTTTGTGTACAATAGCATGGGAACCATCAACCAGCAGGCCCTGGACCAACTGCAGTATCCTTTTTGTAATCCACAGCAGCAAAGTCAGTGGGGGAAATTTACCTTCATGAACCAGCTCCCTGACTCTAGGTCTTGGTAAAAACAACATAAAAAGAGAAAATATAAAAAGTACCTTAAGTACAGGAGGACTCGTGTACCTACGGAAGTATTAGAATCAAAGACAAAATGAAGGTTTGGGACTATGTGGAACTAATACAGGATAGGGCCCCACAAGCTTCTGTTGTTATTTCAAAGGTTTTCCTTAATTAGCTGCTCAGCTATGTGACCGAGCTGACGGAGAAAATCAGAACAAGATCCTCCCCTGACCAGAATGAGGTGGCTGATGACTCAGCTGAATTTGTGGGTTTCTTCCCTGACTTCGTGTGGACTCTGAGAGACTTCTCCCTGGAGCTGAACGTAGACGGGAAATCTGTGTCAGCAGATGAGTACCTAGAGAATTCCTTGAAGCTGATTTCAGGTAACTGATGCAGTCAGTAAATGGGGATGTCAAAACACTAAGAATCTGGGGCTGGAGAGATGACTCAAGGTTAAGAGTTCTGGCTGCTCTTGTAGAAGACCCAGGTTCAGTTCCTGGCACCCACATGGTAGCTAACAACCATCTATAACTCAAGTTTCAGAGGCTCTGATGCCCTCTTCCGGCCTCCTCAGGCATTGAATGACATAGGTGTGCTTACATACATGTAGGCAAAACCCTCATATACATAAAATAAAAATAAATCAGTAAATACAATTTTTAACACTAAGAATCCACATTTTATACATCTCTATAGTTTTCTTACATCTCCAGCTTTCTTATTTCTTCTAGCTGGATAGTTGTAGGAATTAATGCTTAATATCTGACTTAATAGATTTTACTCTGAACATTTTCTCCTTTGTTTTAAGAACAAACTTATTTGTCTTTCACTTTTCCCTTTACTATGATTAGGTTGATTTTATTTCCCAGCTTAGGACTTGCTTGGTACCTAAATATAAAGTACAATGAATATATATTTGAGAAAAATAGATTTAAAGTATTAACAGTATCCTAACCCAAGTGTTAGGAAATTATGACCCCCACACAAATGATGGCCTTCCAAGTGTCTTTGGAAATTGAATAATTCTATGCCAATAGTTCACATATTGTCTGTGGGCATGGTCAAGCTACACTGAGTTGAGAACTTAGAAACTAAGCCACATGGCCTGCAAAGTCTCACAGATACAGTATTTAGCCCTTTAAACAAACTATTTACAAGTTCTTTAAGTAGACGCATTCCTCTTTTTGTTTGTTTTGTTTGAGTTTGGGGGGGTTGTTTTGTTTTGTTTGGGGATTGCTTTGTTTTGTTTTGTTTGCTTTGTTTGTTTTGTTTTGTTTTGTTTTGTTTGTTTGTTACAGAGTCTCACTATTTGACCCAAACTGACCTGAGACTTAAAGTCCTCTCGCCTCAGCTACCAGAGTGCTAGGATTACTGGCATAAATCCCCAAATAATAGATAGATGTATTTGGGGCTGAAGAAATGGCTCCATGATTAAGAGCAGTGGCTGCTCTTGTAGAGGACTCGGGTTCTGTACCCAGCACCTACATGGCAGCTAACAACGATCTGTAACTCCAGTTCCAGGGATCTGACACCCTCTTCTGGCCTCCATGGGCATTGCACATACCTGACGCATTTACATACATGCAGGCAGTAAACTCAAACACATTAAATAAAAATAAATAAATAAATAAATATAAAATTCACCTTCCAAGTCCTGGCTGAAAATCCCTTACTTTCTCTTCCTCTAGGTAACAGCCAAAAAGAAAAAAAGCTGAATCTTCCCCGGCTCTGTATCCGTAAGTTCTTCCCAAAGAAGAAATGCTTTGTGTTTGAGCGGCCAGCATCTGGAAAGAAGCTTAAGAGACTGGATTCACTGCAGGATGGTGACCTGGATTCCGACTTCCTGGAACAAGTGGCAGAGTTCTGTTCTTACATCTTCACCTGTTCCAAGACTAAAACTCTTTCCGGAGGCATCAAGGTCAACGGACCCCGTGAGTCCCCTCCCAGTCCCTCTGCTCATAGCAGTGACCTGGTTCAGCTTTGGAAAACCTTAAACCTATCAGCACTGTTGTCCTAGGTTTTAGATGGTACCAACGTTTATAAAAAACATCAATCAAACTTTCTTGATGTGAAAAGAGAAAAGGGAAAAGGGGGGGGGTATTACTTAAAATTACCCTGATAAAGTAGACCTACCGTCACCTATAAGAGAGCCACTAAAAAAAGTATGGATGTTTAAATGTAAATTAAAATGAAGTCATATGAGTCTATTTCAATGATTCTACATCTAACTAGTAACTGTCAGGTTAGCATACACAGATGTTTTCTTGGACAGTACTACTTATTTTAATCAACCAAACGAAGAACTCCTGACTGGGATAGCATGTCTTGTTTGAGGAATTAGAATGATAATCTCACTATGGACAGGGCTGGTGATCCAGAATAAATGAGACGAATGGATGCTGTTCTCTTGGTGCTTGGGTTAAAATGGACACAGACATTTAATAGGCACAGGTCTGTGTGACCTAGGTTCAGTGTTCTTAGCCTTTGGTGTTGGCATCATGGGAGGATCTTGCCAAAGAGGAAAGTCTAATTCCATCAATATGGGGTAGAGGTTGAGATCCTTCATGCTTAAGATACTTCCAAGTGATGTTAAGAACACTGATGATCTGAGGCATCAGTGATTAATTGGCATGCCCAGAGTTACACAGCATTCCATCTGCAGCAAACATCATCACCTCTTCCCTATTTATAGGACTACAGAGCCTGGTGGAGACCTACGTCAATGCCATCAGCAGTGGGGAACTGCCCTGTATGGAGAATGCAGTCCTGGCTTTGTCTCAGATAGAAAACGCAGCTGCAGTGCAAAAGGCCATTGCCTACTATGACCAGCAGATGGGCCAGAAGGTGCAGCTGCCCACAGAAACCCTCCAGGAGCTGCTGGACCTGCACAGGACCTGTGAGAAAGAAGCCATCGAGATCTTCATTAAAAATTCCTTCAAAGATATTGACCAAGTGTTTCAAAAGGAACTAGGGGTAAATTTCCTTTCAAGTTTATATGGATCTGGATTTTAGAAGCCAATGTGCTATGAGGAAATGAAATGGGCATTTGAGAGAGGTGATTACTTTATTATCATAGAAAGCTTTAAAGCATTTCTTCTGTCACAAATAAGCTAATGATATTCCCCTTTATTGAATTAAATGTTCAAAAGTAACGGATGCTTCTGATCAAATTACATGCTCAGTGCTAGATCGAGTTGATATTCAAGCCAACAGCAAAGAAAAATTTAGCCTTGGCTATCTAAGGCTAACTAATGTTGAATCATGCTTATTTTATGTGCCTTCCTTGGTCCAATTTGAAAAAGTAGTTTACCTCTAAAAGTCTAAATCTCTACTCCAAACTTCACCACCAAAGAGAAAGACATGACTTTAGTAAAAGGTTGCGATCAGGGGAAGGGATATGGTCATTGACGTGCTTGTAAGTTTTCTTTTATGTGTTTTGACTTTATGTTTGTGCTTGTTTTGAGAAGTGTTGCAAGAAGAAATTCTAAACTCGGACCTCTTTTCCTTCTTAATTTTTTCTTTTCATTTTTGTATTTAAGACCAAGCTAGAAATAAAGAGAGAAGAATTCTACCAAAAGAATCTACAGGCATCCTCAGACCGTTGCTCAGCTCTGCTCCGGGAGATTTTCAGACCACTAGAGGAAGATGTGAAGCAGGGCATTTATTCCAAACCAGGGGGCTATCGTCTTTTTATTCAGGAGATGCAAGAGTTGAAGAAAGAGTACTATAAGGAACCCAGGAAGGGGATTCAGGTAAACAAGACCGTCTGTGTTTTCTGGGAAGTTGCTAGCATCCTCCTCAAACAGCAGTGTGTCCAAGCATCACTGCAGAGAGGGGCCTTGCTGTTTGCATATCCATCACACATTGAGTCACCAACACAAAAATGAAGACCATCATAGTAGGTATACCCTGATTACTCATCAGAGAGAGTACACTCACTTAAAAGTTGAGTTACAAATTGATGACATTAACCATTGAGTATGACTGTCATCCACTTAAAGTTTTTGTGTTGCAAAGGACCCAATGATAGTCCCTTAAACAAAACTCATAATTCATCAGTTTGGGCTTCAAAGTCACTTTAAAAGACACCTGGGTCCAGTGATAATCATCATGTGTCTCTCTGTCCATTGCTCTTTCTCATCCTCACACTGCCTTCCCTTTCTTACTCACTCTGATAATTTCTTTTCTCCATGAGGGCTTGTGTCTACCACAGCACCATTAACTCCAAAGTTAGAGCCCTCTGCCTAAAAGGACAGACTCTCTTTTTCCAACACAAGTCTCCAATAAATGACATTGCTCAGTGGGGTTCAACGTGAAGCATATGCCTGTTCCTGTGACAGGGAATCTTAGCTACCAGGCCTACCAGACCTAAGAGGCACAATTGGAGAAAAAGAGGGTAGACAGGTAGACAGGTACAAATGCTTACAGTCATGTCCTGCTGTTAACTTCATGTTGTCTGGACTCTAAGGCAGAAGAAGCTCTGCAGAAGTTTTTACAGTCCAAGGAAGATTTGACTGATGCAATTCTGCAGACAGACCAGAGTCTCACAGAAAAGGAGAAAGAGATTGAAGGTGAGGGACAGCTTAAGAGACTACATGACCTCAAAAGCTCTTAAAATCTGAACTTCCTTGTAAACCTGGAACCATAAACCAGAAAGAACAAAGATGTGTCTTGCTTGCTGGCATCAAACCTGAGTAGTATGTGTGATGTCCACAGCAGCAACAGCAAGTAAGCCCACGAGGAAGCAACTCGGCACCTCACACTTTCCTTCTTCCTTTTCCTTCTCAGTGGAACGTGTGAAGGCTGAAGCTGCACAAGCTACAGCAAAACTGCTAGAGGAAATGCAAAAGAAGAATGAGCAGTTGATGAAAGAGAAAGAGAAGAGCTACCAGGAACATGTGAAGCAGTTGACTGAGAAGATGGAGAAGGAGCAGGCCCAGCTAAGGAAAGAGCAAGCAAGGATCATTGAGCACAAACTTCAGGTATTTCAACATTCCACCTTCTACATTTTCTTCATTTTTAAATTTTTAGAAATTATGTGTATATGTGTGTGAGAGAGCTTTTATACATGTGTGTGGTGCCTAAGGAGGCCAAAAGAGGGGGTCAGATATCCTGGAGGTGGAGTTATAGGTGATTGTGAGCTGCCTGACATCATGGGAGCTAGGAAGCAATCTCAGGTCCTCCGCAAGAACAGCGTAATACACACACATGTATACATATGATAAAATAATAGAATATTATATAATTATATAATAAAATGTTATGTGTTTTATATATTAACATATATATATACTAACATTTATAAGATCCTACAGATGTTAAAATATCTGTGTCATCTTTACCACATGGTGGAATCCACATTATTCTTTCTCTGTCTCACCTGGTATAAGTTTATCCCTAAGAGTGACTGTAAGGAGACTCCTTAACCCTCACACCTGTGTGATAGTCTATCCCTTCTGCTTCTACTCCCAATTTGTATTCAGAGCCTGGGACTCTGATTTCCTAACCTATCACTTGCCACCCACGCTATCAAGTTGTGAAAGGTTACACTAAATTTCTTTGTGTGTGTGTGTGTGTGTGTGTGTGTGTGTGTGCACGCGCGTGCGTGTGCATGTGTGTGTATACACATGTGGGTATGAGTGCACTTGCACATGCATGTGAAGGCCACAGGTCTACTTTAGCTATCTTCGTTGATGACTCTCTACCTTATTTTTTGAGACAAGGTCTCTCTGAGAACCGGAAGCTCATCGGTTGGATTAGACTGGCTAGCCAATGAATTCCAGGGACCCATCTGTATCCACTTTCCCAGCACTAGGATTACAGACAGACACTGCTGCACCCAGCTTTTATGTGGGTGCTGGGGATCCAAACTCAGATCCTCATGTGTATGTAGCAGGCACGTTACTGACCAAGCATCTCCTGAGCTCCTAGACTAAATTTTTAATCTAAATTCAGAGACTTCATCATATTTTCAGAATACTTTATTTCTGGGTTACATATTTATATAAGATGATATGTGTGGGGGTAGATATATTAAAGTCTATAATACTAAAATTTGAAGCCAAACATATGATTAAGCTTGCCTACACAAGTTATAGACAATTAATGAGAAAAAAAATGATATTGGACATTAAACATTTCCCTGTACCTCAGGGAGACTATTTCTTAGCTAAAGGAACCTCCACCAGAAGTAATTAGAATTCATATGCCCAGGAAAAAGTGGTAATTAGAATTCATATGCCCAAGTAAAAAAAAATTGGGGGGAGGGGTAGTTAAAAAAAGGAAACCTTTGAATATTCAATTTTACTTGTGAACAAAAATGAGTTTAAAGTATAATAATAACTAAGGATAAAGTTTTATTGAAGAATTAATTAAAAACTAATTCCTATTATAATTAATGGAACATAGGGATCTACTCAATGATACAATGTATTGTTTCCACTTGTCACCTTTTAGGAACAGGCCCGACTGCTAAATGAGGGATTCCAAAAGGAGAGCAGGAGACTTCAAGATGAGATAAACAATCTCCAGAGACGGAAGACAAGAGGACCCAAATGCGTCATAAGCTGAACACCTAAAGAATAGAGATGTCCTGTCAATCTTTTTCTTATTTCATTTTATGTGTATGAGTGTATTGCCTGTGTGTATATAAGTGCATCTGTGTTGTGCAATGTCCATGGAGGCCGGAAGAGGGCATCAGATCCCCTGGAACTGGAGTTATGGATGCTTTGTAGCCACCATGTGGGTGCTGAGAGTTGGACTCAGGTCCTCTGCAAGAGCAGCCAGTGCGCTTAACCACTGAGCCATCTCTCCAGCCCCTGTCCTGTCATTCTTTATTCAGAGCTAATAGAGTTTAGAATTTGGAACAAGTGTCACTCCAGTTGATAATGACTGGGTCCTGCATCAGAATACTAGAACCTGCAAAGGCATGTGATGCAATCATTGAAATCATATGTATCTTCCTTAAAAGAATGTACAACAAGGTCATCCGTGACATCTCTATCATTAGGAGGTGTATCAACAGCAGCACTCAGTAGAAAGTTATTTTTCCAGATGAGTACCAGGAGACAGATGGCCATAGCACGGTGTTACATATATAAATAGAATTAAGAACCAAGCTGGTCAAGTGTGCAATGGGTCTCAGGAGCAGGAACCACCATCCCCATTTCTCACTGAAGACAATGTACAGTTCTCCATTATATCAAAATTGCTCATCTTCTGAGAAATGGTGTGATTTGTGAACACTGTCAATAGATAACCCTCACCAATATGCTCCATTGTAAAGCAAGACACCTGTGTAGAGATCCAGACTCCACAGTCTCCAAAGAGGATGGAAGAAACCATTAACAGGACAAGAAGCTGGATCCCAAATAAATGAGCTAAAGGAAACATTCCCTCTTGTTTATCTAGATTGTAACTGTAATGGACGCTTCCAAACTTTAGATTATACAGTAACACAATGACAGTTACCCATGATGTACAGTGATGTGTAATTTGAAAGATGGACTTTAAATGTTAGAAAACAAAGCTACTTTGATGATGTGTCTGTAATCATAAACTTATACTCTTTTCCTGCTATTAGGAGATATATTTTAAATCCTGTTGATTTTCCCCAAAGAGAGTGTAGATTCTTTTTTCCATATTTTGACCAATAAAATTTTTCTCTGATTATCATAGAGTATACATAAACTATATCTGAATTGCCACAAGTGCAAGGTTAGTGACGGACATCTTTTAAACATCTTAAGAACTACTTTGGGGGATGGCTCCGTGGGTAAAGTGCTTGCTGTGCAAGCATGAGGACCTAAATTGGTACCCCCAGCACTTACATAATAAGCCAGGCATAGAGGTGCATACCTGTAACCCTAGTGCTGAGGTTGGGGCAGAGTAGCCAGGAGTATCACCAGGGCTTGGCTGCCAACCAGTCTTGCCAATAGGTAAGTTCCAAGTTCAGTGAGAGACCCTGTCTTATAAAATAAGGTGGAGATCCACATTCCTCCAGCGATAGGCTGATGGTGAAGGAGATTGGAGAATGGAGGATTGCCAGATGTTGGGCAGCAGTTTCAACCTTCTCTAAGTGGCTGCATTCCACAACCCCTTCCCCTAATTTCCCAGGTTGTCCATGGCATTGACTTTGCCTCTGTGTTAGGTGCCGATACCAGTCGACCATGTTGAACAGCACCTGAAAGGGGGAGTGAGGATGAAAGAAAAATAAGAGACAGAGAAAGATACGTAGGAGGACTGTCAGTAGAGACCGCAGCCCCGGTTTATTTCAGCTCAGCCTTCTTACACAGCAGAACATCAGACAGCCAGTTTGCTTAGCTGAATTTGCGTCAACAGCTCTTTTTTCCCACCTTTTCCGGAGGGTCAAGGAATGGTCAAATACTTGTTGTGAATGCAACCATTTAACCATCTTCCCTAAAATATCAACACATTCCTCCTGACTTGGCAGAGCAATTCGGTACTTGTGTGCAAAACACACAAACTCTTGAGTCAAAGCAAAACATCATAAAGTAAACAAGCAAGCCTGCCACAGCTCAGTGTACAAAATGGCTGTGCTTATACTAATAGCTCCCAACAGTTGGGCTTATGCTGGGGACAGGAAAAGTCTCTGTCATTTGCAGATTCTGGTCTTAGGAGAATTGATTCTCTAGAACAGACTTCTGACCTCCTGTGAGGGCCACCTGTGGGCTTGACTCCACACATGGTCCTGGGCCCCCAGGCCTTGGTGTTTGACCTCTCGTATTCCTAGGCACCAAGAGGTTTTCCATCATTTTACTATTACTGTTCTACAGCCCCAGTTTACCTTCATCTGTGCCCATAGAAAATGTAAAACACCTCATTGAACTCTGAGAATCTTTTAAAAAAAGAAAGAAAAAGAAAATACTATAATAACTAAACATATAATTCTCAAATTTAAAATATGCAATTGTATTTTAGAATGTAAATTCACAATTCTATATGTGTACTATAATTTTTGAATATTACTTACTGATAAAACTGTACTACCAAGCTTTGAAATTTGTCATTATTGCTGTAGTGGGATTTTGCCATTCACTCCCTTTTCAAATTCTCCAACCTATACAAAGTTTTTCAATATAAACATGTTATTTCTTAAAGAAAGCAATGCTAATAAAATATTTTAAAATGAAGAATAAAGTTGCATTATTCAATAGAAAATGGGCGCAACTGGAGATAACCATATTAAGCAAATAAATGTCAGAAAGACAAATATCATATGTTTTCTCTCATAGGTAGCTCCTAGGTTTTATATAGACACATAAATCATGTATGTATATACTGCATGAAAGTAGAAGTAAAGCTGTCTAGGGAACAAAGGGGCTAACGGAGGGGATAAGGAAGAGTAGAGTGGGAAAGATGGGGGAGAATATGCTAAATCCTAAGATATTTGTGCTCAACAAAGAACATTTTTAAAAATTTCTGTACCCAGATGTCCCTCAGTATGAATTCATCCACTGGAGTCTAGTCAGCCCATCTAAAGTCACTCCCTTAAATTAGATCAACTCTTCTTCACCCAGCAGTAATCAGCTGCCAATGTATTGTATGAAATGCACAAATATTCAATTAAAATATACATTGAGGGGGAAAAAATTCTGACAACTCCATGAGAATGATTTTGACAATTCAGATAAATTGACTAATTTCTCAAAAAGCATAAGGGAGAAAAATCAATCAATTGTCCAACCCCAGCTTTAAAACCTAATAACCCCAACAACTACCAGCACTTACAAAATTCTGTCACTGCAGTGGTGGCACTTTTATCTTGGGGTAATCAACAGCTACCTAATTGGACTTAAAGCCCACTCAATGTGAGGGAACCCATGTGTGGTACTGTAAACATAGCCAAATACACATAGCTGGAGAGAGAGGTCATACATCTTATAGAAAACCCTACATCTGTCACATCCCTAGACAAATGTAATTTCTTCTTTTTTTTTAATTAGAAGAAGCATTTCATTACAACAGCATTAACCTATTCAATAACATTTTTCTGAGCTAGGGTACATCTCTTTCAAAATTGGCTGTACATTTTTAGGTTTACAGATGAATTATTACACTTATACAATCTTTTACTCATTATAAACTCTATAAGACATAAAATTAAATGAGGTTTTAACGTTTAAAAAAAGATCTCCACTTCGTTGTTAAAATACACAGTTTCATACAGAAAAATTCATTTTAAGGCAATTGACATTGAGACGTTTTCACATGCATTTCTAATCTCTGTATATATGACTATTACTGGTCACAGTCGCTTGACAAATGTAATTTCTTATTGTACACTAGATATGGATCCATATATTTACAGACAAATAAATGGATCATCACTCATCAAAGTAGCTTCTTTTCGCAACAGATGGAGACTATTTCAGAGTTCAACAACTGGTCACGCATAGAGAATAAGTGTCTGTGAGATGCCCAGCTCTAAGTGACACATATAGAATGGAACGTCTATACCTAAGGCTCACATAACATAGTGGAACAGTGGTAGAAAGACTACTAGTGCATCTCCCAACTCTCAGTAACAAAGCTTCCGTATACAACAGAGAGCGATGAACCCAGAAGACAACTAGCCAAAGTGTAGAGAATAAGAGACTGCAGAGTGCATGTCCCTGGATAGGACTCCTGTATTAAACCTCATCCACCCAGGGCTCAGGGACCATTTGGAAGAGGGGAAGGAAGGACTGTAAGAGCCAGAGGTGATGCATGACCATAGGAAATAGTCTTCCAGGCTCTGGGAGCTTGTTCATATGAACTTACAGCAATGGTGACAGGATGCACAAGGCCCATGCAAACTCAGTCAGACAAAAACCCAGCATAGAACTGGGGGAATGAGCAGGATGCTCAGCCAAACTATTGGCTCCTGATCGCCACTGGATGAGGGAGAGTTAATCTTCTTTAAGGGAGTGATGCCAGATAAGCTGACCAGGCTCCAGTGGATAAATGCACACCAAGGGTCATCTGGGTATACAAATTTGACTCAATAAGCCTTAATATAGATGACAAAATGCAGAAGATCCTTTCGGGGGGGTCTGTAGATAGGGTGGGGGTCTAAATATGATTAAGATGTGTTGTATGAAATGCACAAAAAAATTCTATAAAAATATATGCTGAGGGCTGGAGAGATGGCTCAGCAGTTAAGAACACTGGTTGTTCTTGCAGAAGACCTGGGTTTGAATCCCAGCACCCACATGGAGGCTAACAACAGTCCATAACTCCAGTTCCAGGGGATCCAACAGCCTCTTCTGACCTCCGTGGGCATTGCACAACACAGGTGTACTTACCTACATGCAGGCAATACATGTATAAAGTAAAATATATTCGCTGAAAAGAAAAAAGAAATGCAGTGAAATGCAGTGAACTCACTGCATTAATTACTTTCCTCATTGCTGCAACAAAATACCTGGAAAAGCAATTTAAGCAAGAAAGGGTTTATTTTGGTTCACAGTTTGGGGAACAGTCCATCATGGTGGGAAAGGGACAGGGGCAGAGTGTGAGGCAGCTGGTCACATTCACAAAGTCAGGAAGCAGAGAGAGAGATGAATGCTGGGCTCCAATTGCTTTCTCCTTTTCATTCAGCCAGAGATTCCAGCACATGGAATGGCGCTGCCCACAGCTAGTGTAGGTCTTCCCACCTCAACTGACCCAATCTAGAAATTCCCTGACAGATACAGGCAGGGGTGTGTCTCCTAGGTGACACACAAGATCCTCCAGATCGCATCAAGTCAACAACCAATATTTACTGAAACACCCACCTAGGGGGAAAAAAAAAAAGGCCACCTGAATTATATCTTCTCAAGAAAGTGGATTTATAGTTTTGAAAATCTGAAAATAGTTTTCCAGATCCAGATGGCTTTGTTTCAGTAAGCACTTACAGAAGAAATAATATGAATTCTACAGTTTCTTTCAGAAAAGACAAGAAAAGGAAAGCTAATTCATTCCATGAAGATAGCGTTGTCCTGATACCAAACTCAAAGACAAATAAGAGAAATCCACAGATCAATATCCTTTATGAATTTAGATGCGAAGCTCCTTTACAAAGTATTAGACAACAAAATCCAGGAATAAACCAAAACAATTTATCTACATTAGGTGGGATTTCTTCTAAGAATAAAGGCTGGAGCATAGAACTGGGAAAATGAACAGTAGACCCCAGTAGTTCCCCAGTGCAGACAAGCACTGGGGAATGGCTGGGGGCACCGACAACATAGTGGACAGTAACAGGGATGACAGAGTATGTGGGCTCTGGGGGGGGTGGCTATGGGAGGGTGCCATTTGGCATGTGGGTATATAGATGAATAAGATGGTTTGGGATGTTCTGTATGAAATATACCCCCCAAAAAAACAAATCACCAAATTAATAAAATGAGTTATAGCCGGGCGTGGTGGCGCACACCTGTAGTCCCAGCACTTGGGAGGCAGAGGCAGGTGGATCTCTGTGGGTTCAAGGCCAGCCTGGTCTACATAGTGAGTTCCAGGACAGCTGGGGCTACAGGGAGACCCTGCTTCAA